GGTTGCTGTTCGATATTGTTGTGTTGAAAATCCTTAAATTTAATGCTCATAATACTTTGTGTCCGTTTGCTAGTTTACTGTTTGCGCATTGGTCTGCGCATTGATCGTAAAATTCGCCAAACATTTAATCTTTAGTTATTGTTTGTTTAGACATCTTTAGAAGAACAAGCGATAAACGTCTATTGCATAAGTAAGCCGGCAAGGTGTCAAGTTATGTGAACTAGACCTACGGTGAGGTTTAACCAGCCATTGACACTAAATTAAATGCCATTAAAGTTTATTTCCACAAAAATCAGAAAAAAATTCTGTTTCTTTAATAAACTAAAGTATGAATTTTATGAGAAATTTTTATAGCAACATTAAAAAGCATAAAGCGTGATTCGAACACAATAGCGATAATTGAACAGATGTGTAGGTGACTAGCTTGCAAAGGTAATAGAAAAATTAATTATACATACTGTAATTAGTTTTTCTATACAAACATCAAAACAAGAAACTTCATGTGCCAGTGTGGTGGTCTTTGACTTGCCTATAACGTTTAACGTTAACCATAATATGATCATTTTCGTGGAAAAACTCTACCATGCACTGCATGAATTGTAATACGAAATATTGTTGATCAATCTTGTTATTGAATCACCTATGGATAACACTATCTACTTATTGTGTAATAAGCCTTCAAATTTAACCAGTAAGAATATTATATACGGTCGTGACCGAATCTTCTACACCCATCACAGTCAACCGAGAAGAGTAACAGTAAGAAAGAACAACATTTTCATGCCCTATAACATGAAGTGGGCGCGGCTGATTTTTCCATTTTTAGAATAAAAGTTTTTGTGGTATCAGCGTGTGGGCGTTCTAGGCGTGCCCTTTGAAAACTTTAGGCCAGTTCCTTTTTCAAATTGAAGGCGTTATCGTCATATTCGTTACACGGCAGATACTGCACCTTTACATAGACAGACAGAGGGACAGACGGACATGTTTAGGTACGATTTCAAGTTTCTTTTTGCGCGTTATAAATGTATTGAAAAAAAATTCACACATTGATACACTACAACATTGGGTAGGCGTGGTTATTTTCTTTGATTTTGGTGCGGGTATTACAGCATCGCTCATAGAATATGCGTTCAAATTTTCACATCTATGCGCTAGAGTTTATGAGTAATGAGGAAAACACAAATTTTTTACTCCTTTTAAAAAACAGAGGAGGCGTGCTCTTCGACCGATTTGACTCGCTTTCAATATCAATCTGTGTGCTTCGATAGCTTCATTTTTTCGGCCAGGAGAAGATTTACAATTACATATTACACAGACGGATAGACGCACAGGCGTAAGTCGATTCAGAATTTGACGCTGACCTTGAATATATATACTTTGTATGTGCTGCATTCTTAGCGTTGCACCTGTTTTGACCAAATTAATATACCCCTCGTGCACCCATGACGGATATAACGTAAAAAAAAAGAAATTAATACCAAAACTCCAATAACTTTCGACCGTGTAATATATTTGAGAGAGAGAGAGAGAGAGAGGGCGAGAGTAGACAGAGAGTGGATTATAAAAGTCACAAAGAAAAAATTATTTTCCTTCAATGTTCTACGAGAGACAAGTAAATGACAAGTTGGTCCAACTTTTTGTTGCTTACTATTTCCTTGCTCTTTCATTTCCGTTACTTGTACGGGAAAAAATTGTGTTAACATTTCTTTGATATGACATCAAATTTTGTCCAATATTTGCAAAGCAAAAGCATACACAATTCTATGTTTGTAAGTGAATATGCGCTATGGTATACACCTAAGTGTCTACGTACGAAAAAAGACAAAAGCTAGATACGTAGGAAATGTAACGTCGTATTAAGAATTTCTATATATATATTTTTTTTTTCAAAAATCTTCCAAGAAATTTCAGTGAAAATATTCCTTGAGGAAACAGAATATCTTAGAATATGTTGCCCAGTGATGTGGCAAACTGCCGAGATATATGTCAAATGTGTATGTGTAAGCAAATAAAGCTTATAATTACATAAATAATAAATAAATGAGATAAAGATAAACTATTTTCTCAATACAATTTTTTTTTTAGATAATGAAAAAATTTCATTATATTTCTCGATATGAAAATTTTTACTGATATTCATTGAAGCATTTGGCGATCATCAAGTTTAGAAATGCTCAATGTGAAATGAAGGGCGAAAAGATATGTGCTACATACATACCTGTCATTAGTTGTTTTATTGTACATACCCACCTATATGTATAGCATAGCGTATGTTCACTTGAAAGCATATAATGATATATGTCTCTGCTCAGCCAAATTTTTGCGAAAATATGACATCATCATCAAGCAATTATTAATAGAATCGGCTATTCGCCCATTCGCTCATCCAAATAACGGGAATGAAAGAGTAAGCAGTCACATGGCTGCTAATTAACAGCGTTATTACTGTCTTTGGTAATAGGCATGTGAAAAGTCTCTATTAACCTATTAGTTTGAGTTTCGAATAAAATGTGGGAACGCCTTTGCCATTTAGGCGTCTCTGGTCCTAATCATATAACCAAGTGAAATACATTCTAATAAAATGATCTTTTTGTATTTTTCCTTGTTGTACCTCTTGCCAAGGTCCCCGTATCATTCGAACGTAAAAAGCGTAAATTTTTTTACTTATAATTTCTTACTAGAACCTATTTTTGCAACACTAAACTTCTCGTTCTTGCCTTGTCTCAGAAAATCAACCAACTAGTTTCTGTGGATTTACGTAAAAATATCTTAAGTTAGTTATGCGTCTACTGGTGCATACTGTCCTCAAGCAGCAGCATAAAATTTCAGCCTTCACATAATACATGATCATGCACTTCATGTATACAATAGCTTTCGTTGATGTCAATGCTTGCAAGGAAAATTGTAGGTGGACATATTTATTTTTATGGGCTTGAGAGGTAAGGACCGATTGCGAGCCGACAGTGAATTTTTGTATATATGAATAGCACTGAGCTAGCACTTCCATTCGATATAAGTCAAATGCCTATGTGTATCGCTGATTTCGTATATCGTATATTTTGTACATCGTGTGTTTACGCGACTTTACAGTATCTCTCCTATACAATCCTAATTTAAGATTTGTCGAACCAAGGTTCCATATATAGTTTTCTTTTTACAGTTGTAAGCGAATCTAGCGTGCGGTTTCCCTGCTTATTAAATTCCACACGGAATTTTCATAACGAAACATTTAAAATATGAGAGCGGAGTCGCTTGCCAAAAACAAAGAAAATTTGTTGATTTTTCCTAATTGCGAATATTACCTGTTACATTGATCTTGAAGGATCTTTGAGGCCTATTACTATGCCATAAAACAGTGACTATCCCGGTACTTTTGAAGAGAACGGTATAAAAAGCTAATTTAATTGTAAAGCTACCGTGTAGTTCGCTGGCAATCTGTTAAGAACGTTTAACAATTCTATATATAAATATTCTCGCCATGAGGATTTGTACAATTATGAATACAAATCAAACTTCTTTAAAACGATTGTTTTTTGGTTTGTTCCGCAATTCAATGTATATGTAAATATTCTTCCAGCTCTTTGTTTGCGCCGCGATGCTGTTACTTAGTGCAAATACTTTTCAGGGTTTTTTTTTCCACAATACGAAAATTTTACTAAAACGCTTTATTTACTCATATATTATTATTATTATTATTAACTTAACCATAGAAATAAATTCTAAGACTAAAGTCTTAAAGCATTAGCATCTAAGGCTATCGACTTTATTAAAAACCCTACCGCACTTGAGATTCGAACCCATGACACGTTTGAGTTGCTAGTCGAGATTCTTCGTCTACGGCCTCTCAGGCGGATGCTTTTTTTTCTCATCTAAACAGCGACCTCTCTATTATAGTTTATAACTTAGAAGCAATATATGTTACCAGCGTAGCATTGCCAGCAATATTTATTTAGGAATTTAAATTATAGCATAGTCCCAGGAGCCAACATTTTGCAAGGAAAATAAACGTGCTTAGTTGAGACAATAACCACTCCGAATTATAGCAATTGTGTAAATAAACCCAAACCATAAGGTGGCGCTCCGTAAGTCTCCAAATAGTATATGCCAGTGGCGCTGTAATATATTGTAATGATTGCTTTTACATTTTCTGATAACATGCAATAACTAAGTTTACTAATTTCCCTTCCTCGTCACTCGTTCGTCAAGAAAACAATGATGACAATTGTTGGCAAACCGTAAACAATTTTTGTATGCAAATAATAAGAAACAAAATATAATAAAATAAACACAGCTGTTGAAGTAAAAATATAAAAAAGCTTTAGCGTGGAGTTACCATATGTTCAAACAATTTAGCCAAAACGAATAAGTATGCTTTTTAGATACACTGAAGTTTTATATCCACTATTAAAGAAATGAGTTTTATTGTTAGTTAATAAGGTCCCTTTACTTGCTATTTACTACCTAAGTAGTAAACTTGAAGGAGTTGCCTATATACGATTTTATCCATCTTATTTTCTTTCAAGAAACCTTTTTTTATATATTCATAATTTATATATGCCGAATCAATTGAAGTGCGAATTCTATCCTCATTAACAAAACAAAAAATGAATTTTGTTGTTCGTAGTTTCCCAACTAGATGGGGTGATTTCAAGGAAATCAGGGCAATTCTTCGATAGGGCTCTAAGCCAACATCCTGTACAAGGCAACACTATACCTTTCAGATAAATCTAACAAGCAAAAAGCGTTTCTTGGCAATTTATAATAGTAATAGCGTTCCAAGAAAACGCCAAGTTTATGATGGACGCATCAGTCATGTCAGTCGAATTCTGAGCAATCTCGTAAAGCCGTCACATAGAATAGAAGGTAACTTGCGAATTTCATGTTTTATAACAAAATTTAAAAAATATGTTGAGCATTTTATTGTGATTGTGTGCGTCGGGGTATTACATTAAAAATTAAATTTGATGGAAAGTCATAAAAACTATGACAAGAAAATGCGGTTACAAGCTCTTATGACAAGCGACCGCTTAAAAGGACAAGAAAACAAGAAACTGTTCTCTCGCATGTCGTCCGACATTGCGGAGTATAATCAACTCCATCGATTTCTGTATTCCTCTGGACTAAGAATGAAACAAGAGGTAGTCAAGAGTAGCGCTAAAACACGTTACCGTCCGTTAGAAAAGGCGTTTCTATAAAAACATTAAGCCAGTTGGAGCATCTCTCTGATAAGTAAAAAGCAAGAAATATTACGGCTGAGAGATATTAATCTAAGTTTACATTTAACCTTGAAGGTTCTTTCTATCCCACTATCAATCGCTATCAATCACTTCTCGCATTATTGATTGCCTTTCACTTTATCCAGGAATAGATTGCCCGTAGGGACGGCTGGTTTAAAGGAATCGTGTATCGTCTTAACTACCAATATGTTTCTGCAACATTCAAAACGTGATTAGCACGGACAAATGTTGAATTGTGGATGTTCTTCCCAAATTGGACTTGGCATATAACGATCGTGAATTGCAAGCGGCGCAGGCAAGGTTATCGTTCTCGAATTGTATCGAATTATCTGCAAAATCTTAGAGAGTTTGCAAACGATGAAGCGTGCCCTCCTCCCCCATCGGTTCACGAGTAAAGTAGAGTAGTCGAGTGGAAACCAAACAAGTGAGGAACTTTTATGCGGCCGTGAGCAAAAACTTCCGTGCGGCCGTGAACAAAACTTCCATGCCCTATGATATGGAGTGGGCGGAGCTGATTTTTTCTATTTTCAATATGAACCTTTCGTTGTATACGTGTGTGGGCATTATAGGCGTGCCCTTTGAAAACTTTGGGTCACTTACTATTTCAAATTTTAGGCGATATCGTCATACTCGTTTACTGCAGATACTACACAGATCTACGGACAGACAGAGGGACAGACGGACATATTTAGGTATATTATTAAGTTTGTTTCTGCGCGTTATAAAGATATTGAAAAAAAGAATTACACTTTGATACACTATAACATTGGGTAGGCGTGGTCATTTTCTTCCATTCCATCACCACCCATAGAATTTCCACATCTATCTGCCATAGTTTGTGAGTAATAAGGAAAACACCAATATTTTACTCTTTTTGAAAAAGAGAAGAGGTCTCAGTTTAGCTGGTACTGTGGGCGTGCCCTTCGTCCGATTTGGCCCTCTTGCAAAGCTAACCTGCTTGCGTCGATAGCTTCATTTTTGCGGAGAATGTTTACAACAGACATCACACAGACGGACAGACGGACAGGGTTAAGTCGATTCAAAATGTGAAGCTCGCGAATCGATAAAGAAATGAACAAAATCGCAAAACCATTACAAAACTACGCTATCGGCATAGCAATGAAGGAATTGATTACTAATTTCTAGTTATTTGGCATAAGCCTCAGGGAGAAGAAGGATTTCTTCTCCATTTGTTTGGTAACATACCTCTTTGGTGTACCTTCTCCCATGTATACAACTGTGTCATTGTCCATTGCTGCAATAGCTTCACGAAGCGAGTTTATAGTTAAGCCTCGCTCCACGATCTCCTGGTGACAAATCCCGATATTTCGTGACTTGATCCCATGCAAATTGCAAGGTATGGAAGGAAAATTTCTCGGCAACCCTATCGACTCCGCATAGAGTAGCACAGCGCGATTATGACTGCAACTGTCTAAAAATTCATTGTTATTTTTGTGTTTATTTAAAAAAAGAAACGAAAGAAAACGAAAAAGAGAAAGAAAAAAAAAAACGGGAAATTTTTCAAAATCTTACTCACAAGCTTTAAATATCAATTTACTGGCTGCAGCTAAATCGAACTCGTCGCAACCCTTTTGGCCCGTAAAACCATAATTTGGATAAAAGTCGAGGGTACCTCGAGGAAGAATATCACCGAACACTGGATAGTCAGTATGTATAACGTCGACGAATTGGGCCGAATTTGAATTTAAACTATCAGAGGACTTGGGCGTAAAGAGAGGTAAAGCCGGATCCAGACCAGTCACTCTACCTAGAGATCCACTAAAATAATGCCCTACACAGCCGGCAATGTGAGCACCTAAGCTATGCCCTATAATATGTATTTCAGATTTTTCGATATTAAATTTTCTGAAAATATGACAAAAAGAAAACAAAATCTCTTAAAAAGTTCCAAAAAAAAAAAAAAGATTTTCATTATTTTTTATACTTGATAAAATTTTCCAAAATTTTGGCTAAGGTCAGGGAAACTTTTCGCACAATTTTTCTAGCAGTGGGATAATCTACTTTAGCCGCCTCTGACCAATCCGCTAGCAGCACATTATCTTTACCCTGGTCCAGATAAGCTGCAAGAAGAAAAAAGGAACAAATCGTTTTCCTTCAATTAGTTTAAAGCAAATCTTATGTCAAACGTCCCAGAAGTTTTTTAGCAGCACACGCGCTTTAACAGAGTTTGTAAACTTTTATATATTGTATTGTATGAGATTCGATTTCGTTTACGTCGTTATTCGCAAGTATTTCGTCGCCGATGAAAGTTAAGAAAAATGTCGAGTTAACGCTTTCTCATCCTCGCTGTTGAGGTTCTACGGCATACGCAGACTTGGCGATTTAAACATACATCGACTACGTGATATCTTCAGAGATAGAGAGCCGTTCGAGTTGGCTTATGATGGATATAAAGCACATTAAAGAATCATTAAAGAAAGAAAGCGGCATCGCCAGAGAAACTGGAGAACAAAGATCACCATATGCATCATGAAATAGCTTTAGTACATGTCGGAGGAAACATGATGACTTTTCTTCGCAAAAACATGGATGATCTTAAGATTTTCTTTTGATGCAGAAAACTGAATTGTATCTATCAGACTTGACCACGTTCCATGTAGAATGGCCCGAGAATCTAGGCGAATGTATCGAGTGCCTATATGTGTATGTTGAACGGAGTAGACGTCGTCTTACGATTCTGTTCGTTGCAAGTCGGTTAGCTTTGGCACAGAGCTGGTGTATGTTCATTTTATCGGCGATCATCGGCTTTCTGAAGCATGCGGTTATAGCCTTTGAAAATTTAGTACTGATAACCAAATTTTGCAAATCAAAATCGAACTCGAATCGAATCGAATAAGTAATGAGGGACATTAATTAACCTGTGGCGTTATTGGGCATCATTTATGATATCATATCACAGTGAGGCATGAAACGAACATCATTCTCATCAATTATCAAATTTCTTCTTTTAAAACCGATCGTATATAGTCGTAGTGAGAAGACTGCATATAATGTTAAGTCTTTTCTCTTTACCTTGTTTCAGTGGCTTTATGGAGCTATGAAGACGGCTCGCCGTGAAACCATGGATAATAAGTTTAAAATCCTTTAAGAATTGCACTTCATTCAAATCCTTTAAAATAATTTCCTGAGTTAAACCGTTCTTTAAACTGTTTGTCGGAGTAAAATGAAAAATTTTTTTACTATGATTTCTCCTAAAATCATTTTCACTTTAATGAACTTACGGTTGTTGGTAGTAAATATTTGCCTTTTCTATTAAGATGTCCACAGGCGAGGCGTTTCCACTATTTTTGTAAAAGCTTAGATAAACTACGAAACCCATTATCAGCTTATATATGAATGAGCGCTCCATACTTTCTGATGGAAACGATTGAATGCTTATGAGTTTTATATAAAATTGTTCGCGAAGCAATAAAAATAATTTTTGTCCCATTATTACGGCGACTATTTAGTCAATTTACAAAATCGCGTGCTCCATGTAAATTTTCTGCCTTTAGTTAATCGCATATATATATGTATATAGTTACCGGTATGACGTCATCGGGTCATATTGTATAATAATCCCATGAAATTATATGTAAATCAATGGTCATTACAAGCAGAGAATATACGAGAGTGAAATGAAATAAAGAAAAATGATATTAGAAATTAACCTCTAACATAACCTACAAGAGCGCTAAATGAAAAATTATCGTAATATTGCGACATAGACCGACAATCTCGTATATATATAGGTATTCAAATTTCATTTCAAGCTTTGCAAAGTCAATACGTAACGTGCTTCATGCATGATTATGTCTGGCAACGATCTTCAGTTTCAATGGAAAGCGTGTATAATGCACTAATGATCCTCTATCTATAGGGGAGAATATCAGTTTCTTAGGAAATGTTCGATCAACGAATTCTATCGAAATTTTTCATAGTCTACTTATGATTATGATGCATAAAAATACCAGTCGAACTCATTAATAGAAGACTCTTCTCTTAAGGGTCATCTTAATCCCAAGGAAAGAAAAAAAAAAAAAAACAAAAGGAAAAAGAAAAAGAAAAATATGTACCGAGAGGCGAACTCCCGGCCGGGGTGGTTTCGAGTTAATAAAGTGTCATTAAACTGATGCAATGCATGCCTAAGCACAGCAACCGATAGTAGCGAACATATGCGTTCTGCTAAATTGCTTAACGAATTTATTTAAAAAATAATATTTTGTTTTTTTTTCTTTTTTTTTATAATAAAATTTGTTATGAGGATGTGCAATAGCGTCGTGATCGCGTATAATAGATTTGTGAACAACATTCATCAGCAGTATGCGACCACGTGCGATATAAGAGCTTATCATAAATCATAACTGTTTTCCTCACAAATTGTTTCTGGACAAATCTTAATTTTAACTTCAGGCAGCATTCGTATTGCCAGCCTTCATGGGTGACAATCATACGCACTTTTGCACGCGTTAGAAACATTTCGCTTAAATCCAAACTGTGGTTGTTGAAGGCATCAACTGTTTCTTGTATCCGGGAAAAAATACAGTCATTGGTTGCCAAAATAGGACTATATGACGGATCAGCCTTCAATATGAATTTTTCAGTGTTTAAATAATCGGTTCTTATAAGAATGGTGTGAGATTTCGCATTGTCATGATGAAGAATGATGCTGCCCGTTCGACTGTTTTCCTCTTTTTTCAACAAAGATTTCCGTCAAGCTTATGCTTGTACGGCATTTAAAAATGATCGCCTAACGTTCCTCTAAACGTATTAATACTGCTTGTCTAGTTGTCTAAGACCTTAGGCTGGACCACGTAGGATCTAACTAGGTACAGAGTAAAATTTAGGTAAGCACCCCATTATTCTCTAGGAAGCTTCACTAAATTGGCGAACTTTATTACCGCATGGCTCATTAGTAACGCATGGGTCGTTAGAATTTATGTATTTGAGTAATACGCCTTTAAAATCCCTTAGCTAGCAAGAGTGGTTTGACCACAATAAATATTATGGCCTTGTTCATTTTTTATAAGCAACATGTACATGTTTTGAAAAGTTATTGGAGGGTAAGTTCTCTGTGTTAATTTAAGCAATTTTGAATGCCTGGATAGCCTGATGAGCTAATCCCAACACACAGTAATAAGGTAAACAAAATTCCTTACAACCGAGGAATTTTCTATCTTAATAGCCCCTACAGTTGACTGCTCCTTACTTTTAGGCACAGGGGTTCATGATTCGTCACTTGTCCACCTGTTACTGTCATTGTACGCCTTAAAACTTGATTTTCGTCGATAGAACCACGCAACATTTTTTAGGTTTCAAAAAGCTAAAAACCTTTTGCCCAGCGAGATGATCGTGCAGGATTAGGAACTGGCGTCTAATGCTGGCCCAATTTCACAGTATGTCACATGTCGATCTTGCATTACCAGTTTCCGCACAGCATTAATATTTTCTGGTATATCGTCTGATTTTGGACGACCTTAACGGTTTTCAATGCTAAGCGAACGATGGCCAAGATTTACCTCGCTGTACCATTGTTTTACAATGCCAAGGAATGGTGCTTCGTTCCAAAAAATGAAACTCGGCCGATCCAGACCTGGCCCTTGTCTAGACCTGGAAAAGCTAATTTCATTTCGCCATTGAGGCACAATTTTCAAGTCACTGTAAGCAACGAAGATCGCGCTCGGATGAGAAAATGTTCTGATGAAGGTTAGTGAGAGACGGCTCATTGCCGTACATAGCTTAAACTGCGAATCGAGAAAGAAAATGAGAGAACCAAAGCTTTTAGATTCAGTATTGTTTCTCTTGATTACCTTACATCTCCTCGAGTAAAAAACCCTTTTAACGAAAGTATCGCCTAAAAAATATATATTCTATGTAAACAAAGGAAAGCGTTTTACTTTCGATATACTTTGAGAGGAAATTAAAAGGATTATGTTGTTAACTTTGACTTTCCCCAACAAGTGTATGTCCCATAAAAACTGGACAACAGCGTTCATTATAATATATTGCCTTTGCCTGCACCTATTAAGCGGTATAGGTAGGTGCAAGCAACAGAAAATATACATGAATTCGAGTATGAAACCTTCCTTATCATAGCAATGTGCGTCAACATATTCTACTTTGAGGCTTAATGGGATGTGGAGAAAACAATGAATGGAAAGAGTGCAAGCGTGTGTATATTTTCTTAAGGAGCAAGAATGAAGATGAAGGCTCCACACATACAAATGTATGGGAACATTATTCATTTCATATTGAAGGAAAGTGTCTTAAGTCCTTCTAAGTGTTAGCATGCATCCGCACTAACTTAATCTACTCTAGAGCACAAGTTGTCTAGATTATAAGGGGGTTAGCAAAGAGATTTTATAAGAAATCTTACTCGTGTATTGCATATAGTGAGGATATCTTTAGTGTTGCACGAGCTAAAAATACCGATGGCTTGTGTTGTCCCTGAAAAAACGTCTGCACATACAGGGAAAATGCTAAACAACTTTGCTTCCAAGATTTCAGAGTTACAGATAATCAAATCTGCTAAGTTGTGTATTATATTGCGTTGCGAAAGAGAAGTCAGAGCGACTTGGCAGAATATAACCCCTAGCGTAGGTTCTGGTGTTTCTTTTCAAAATTGTAAACGAAAACTTTAATAAACCATAGATTTTCACGTACTACAAAATAACCAATGACATGGTACTCAACAATTGTTATTGTATTATGTATATTGTGAGCAAATTCTTCCTCAAACATTCGCCATCACAATATTATAAACCCGGAAGAGAATTGTGGTCCCGAATCTCAAGCACGTTTAGTCAAGCAAGTTTACTTGGCTTTGTCATAGCTATAGTGAACGCTCGGTTGATGAATGCATAACAACTACCGTTTCGGTACACACCCATTAGAATGCGGCCACCATCTCCCTTTCTCTTTGGTTTCCTCAGTTCTTTCTGACCGTCAGTGAGTTACACGACTAGGGGACAGCGAGGATGCTTGCGATTAAAGCAAGGGCTTTCGCTACGCTTAGTGTTTGCCGTTGAAGAGATCCTACCAACGGTCGTTAGATGGTAGACGTCAGGGCGAGCATAAGTTCTTGGTTCTACAAAAATGGCGAATAGCATGAGAAGTTACATAAAAATGTATCGTTCTATTTCTGTTATGTCCATTTTTCCAGTATTCCCGTAAATCACTGTCGATATAATTGTCAACATTGAGTCAATCTATTAAGTAAGATGACGTAAGCATTTATTCTTTTTTTATTAGAAGCAGTTACTTTTTAATAAATACTGTATTAAAGAATAATAATTTATGTATTATGTATGTATATATGTACTTATAAAACATCGCTCTTCAAATATTTGAACACATTTATGAGTTTTGTACAAAATGAAAAAAAAAAACAAAAAAAAAAAAAACAAATACAAAAAAAAGAAAGAAAAGAGAGAAACTCAACGTCTACGAGCATCCTGATCCCAATTAATGGGACGTATCATCATTTTAGCTGCTTTTAGAGAGTAAGTGGGACCCAGCCAGTCTTGCCAGTACATGCCGCGGTATTGTTCGATTTTATTGTCATCCATAGAATGATACGGACCCATCAAATTGCTAAATAATGAAATGAATGGAATATTATCAGAGGCGCGGAGCTGCATGCAGAGGCAAAATTGATCTATGCTTACCTTTGATCGCACCAATTATACCACCAGGCGCCCTTATGCGACTGAGCGCAATTACAATCGACGCAACCGTCATTATCGTTGTCATAAGTAGAAAATTTACTGCCGGCATGATAGCTAAACGAGTCGCCAGCGTCACCTTCATATTTGCCCAGCAACTTCAATTCGTACATTTCCTGTTCGTTCCCAATGGCAAACAAATTATATCGGGCGTATTTACGATTGCCTGGAAAATCTTCCAAGACAATCAGCAATTCGTTTATCTCAACAGCAGTTAAAGCGTACAATTTATCGAGACCGATGAAAAATTCACCGGCCAAGTTGCCAAAGCCGTTTTTGTAGTCGAGCCAGCCGCGCTCGAAATTTATATCGCCATTGAACCGATTCATGATCACTGTCCAACCGCCGCCCATGGACTGGCTATCGCACATAACATAAAACGGTTCCGAAGAGCTTGTCAATTGCAAACGTAGTATGCCCCGCACAGGTGCATCACTTTGAGCACAACTGGTCACCAATTGCGGTTGTGATGCTGACGCCAGGTGAGGGGGTAAATAACTAAGTTGGTTAAGTTGTCGTCTGATCAAGTTATTGAAACGCCTTTGAACATTTCTAATAAGAATAAAAGTAAATAAATAAATAAATAAATAAGTAAATAAAGAATGAAAAATTATATGTAAAAAGTATTTATATAAATCGTAAAATATAAGGGACCGGTTAAGTGAGCTATTGAACAAATATTTATCGCAATACTATTACTAATAATAATAATTAATTTGAGTAACATTTTAATGATTGCAAACTGGGTTAATTAACATGTAAAAAAGGCAAGGAGACTATGTGCATTAAGGGAAGGTTACCATAGGTAAATATCTCTTCAAAATGATTTCTAATTTTTTTTTTTTTTTTTTTTAGGCGATGGATACAATGACAAATAAAGAGACACTCGATCAGCGTGAGTAGAGGAATTGATTTACGTATATTGATCGGTAGATCGGTCGGTCTGGCTATCAATTAAAGCAACGACTATGACCTGCAAGTTTTCTTTAAAGGAAGAAATTTTATCACAAACTGTATTTCATCGTTTTCGTCAGAGATGGGTTTCGACAGACGTAACCGAAAAGTGTGGAGAGACGGAGGAAAACTATGCAAAATATTCCAAATTTTTATAGTAAGTCTTACGAGTATTTGTCACAATCGATTCATTAATTTTTCTCTATTTTTTAAAATGAAAAATATTGAAAATCAAAGTTCATTCCCATGGGCCTATTGAACCTTGCCGTCATAATACAAGCTTGCATAATGAACTTTCTTCTAAATAATGAACTATGCGTGACTTTGCTGGGATAGTATATATTGCTACTCAACGGGTCTTTCTTTTTCTAACGAAGAAAATTATCTTTATCGAGTGATATGCAAGATGAGGGTCACTTTAATCAATTAAATGGTTTTTTTTTTTTTTTTGTTTTTCAAACCTTGAGTACTGGATTCTACATAATGAGCTAAAACATGCAAGCAATTGTTGAAGTTTGAAGATAAATGAATCGAATATTAGGACTACAGTGATACTTTTTGGAAAGCTGAGGGCGATTCTCTAATTAATGTTCATTAAGATTGACAAGAGATTATTTTTAAAACCTTTTAGATCGGTCAAGGAATGTGTTCACGCAAATTTCAATTTAATAGAGTTACGCTACGAATTGTTCGAGCAAGTATTGTATTAATCAAATCAGTTCTTCTTCGGTTTACATCGATCCATAAAAATCTAAAATATTCTATAGGACATGCCCGGCCATGAGAGGCTTGTACAAACTGACATGAGGAATCGACGAGAGAATTAATCAAAAGTTTGCGATAAAGTTTACGACAGAATTTGTTCAAAACAAAATTTATTCTTTTTTTTTTTTTTGATTTTAAATTTATCATTTTCATTCTGCGAACTTTTCAATTATCGTGCCAAGCAATCTTAATTAAAATTTTTAATGCAATGCATATGCAAACAAGTAAAAAAATGATATTCGGCTCTGGCCGAATCTTCTATGCTCACCACTTTCATCTCTGAAAGCAACTCAAGGGAATAAAAAAAAAAAACTAAAAAATAAAAAATAAAAAAAAATTAAATTTCGACTGCGTGCCCGGGAAAACGTTATCACTCATAGAACGTAGCGTAGCAGCAAACTTCATCGCATTTGGGTTAGTTTATGCGCAATGCGAGTAACACTAATCTTTGTTTTGCTTAACTAGCATTTATGCTTTACTGTAGTTGTGTTCTTTGATCAATTAATTGCACTTCCACACTTGATCGATTTCGTTAAGCAACGAATGTGTGTACAAAGTTTTGACATTCTATCTTAGCTTTGATGATTTTGTGTAAGCGACAGATTGACAGATAGACGCACAGACCGATAGATAAAACTAAATAAACTCGTAATCTTTCGCTACCCTACGTGGCCGGCCAATATTCATTTCCAAGTATTACAAAGCGAATGATTAAAGTAGTGATTCGATGGTGTGGATCTCAGATCTAAGCATGTAGATAGATGGAGCAGAGCTATTAGTTACGCAATTATAGCATCAGGTCGTCCACATAGTGTCATATAGTGTCTTCTTAGAAACGAGTAGACACTGCATTAAACTTGGGGCAAATCGCTTAATCTTTTGTTAAAGTTTCATTGCCAATTTACACTGGGCACGTCTAACGCTTGACGCCTTTAATTTTATGAGAATTTTATTTAATACTTTATCGAGAATATTTTTTAATTTTTTTTGTTTTTTTCTCTCTCTCTCTTTCTGTCAACTAATCGCCGCAATATAAATAAAACATTAGTTATCGTAAGGAATTTGTTTGATTATTGCCGTTGACGTGCTCGTTGCCGCTTATTTGATTGTTAGTCAGTCAATCGCTGGTGTACTCGATTACTCTACTCACCCAGTTTGTTGCAGAAGACGGGTAACATTGGTTTGTAAATCGTTTTGTAAATCTTTTACGGCCGTTCTAAGTGAAACCAAAAACACCGCCATAGCGTTTAACTTTTGTGAATTGGAAAAGTCGTTATCGCCAATATTACCACCACCACTACCTAGTGTAGTTTGATTGTATTGCTGCGGTAATTGACGAGCTTTGCGTACAGTATTCAATTCTATTGAGAATAAACGTAAATTTTTTTACTTAAAATATACAAAAATATTTTAGTAAAGCATTTTGTTTTCGAAATATTTTCTTTACTACATGCAGTCTATAAAACATTTTGTTTAATTGAATTTTAATTTAATTATTATTCAATAGTTTTTAGAATGCAGTCAGCCGTCACCATGAAATTATTTGTTAATTACCGTTTAAATCAATATTTGCTTTGTTATTGTGTGATTGATCAGTGTGATTGAGTTTCTTCGTATATGTTTCGAATTCACCTAACAACTCGACGACGCTCTCGCGCGTTAGGCGTTGCATATGCTCCACAACATCGATGCGTTTGTGAAAATTTAATTGCTGCACAGCCAGCGACTCCATGCGCGCCAAATTGCTCGCCTCAAACTGAACAATTCTGAAAATAAAAAAAAAGAAGAAACAAAAAATTGTCATCATTTTCTTCGCCCTTTTAAATCACATTCAAAAGATTTAGAATCCGGATTAATGCAAATATGATTTCTAAGCCTTCGCGTTGCAGAAAGGAACTTTAAAAGTCGAGTGAGTCACTACTTGACTTTGTCATCGATTGTGTGATATTTTAAGCACAAAACTTAAATCTTACCCTCAAACGATCCCTTGCAATAATACGCATAAATTAAATGAGAATGTTACTCAACCATCGAAATGCTTGAATGCTTTCATTAAGACCCCATAGATTTAAAAGTTTTACATAAAATAACATTGTAGTACCAATGGGCCAAAAAAATGAAAATAAGGGCAGGCTGGCACCTCATCGCATTCACTTGCTTAGCTGAGTGTAGGCAAAGATGGTGCTAGGTTAAGAAAGGAAAATTTTAAGCCAACTGCCACCATCTATACGACTACATGATAAGGATACTAAACCTATGAAAAATTGACGCATTGACACTGGGGATAGTTGATCAAGAAGGATTAAGCTTCAAGTACTGCTAAGTAAAGTTTTATTGATAGATTGTGTTTATAGAATATGTCTTTTGGAATTGTAGCCGCTTGCTGTTTCATTTACAACAAAAATATCCTAATTAAAAGTCAAGCTTATAACCGAGTGAACGCATGGTCTCTCTTCGTTTGATTCTTTCAAAGGAAAGTGTTAGCATGCAAAAGGTACACAAAAAAAAAATTCTGCAATATTATCCAACTTTGGCTCGCATTCATTAATAATTGAAACAATTAAGAAAATTATATTCGTCTACGAACGAATATTTTATACCCTTCAACGTTATCCTAAAAGCGATTAAAAAAGGAAGAAAACTGAGTTTTCATACTCTATTGGGTGCTGGGTGCGCCATGTGTGGACCGGAAATTTATATCATGTGTCTGTCGTAGCTTATGAGTAGCGAGCAAAAAAGCACGGAAAGCAGGGATATTCTCGGTTTTGGTTGCTTTGCAGGCGTCTCCTTCGACCGATGTGGCGCAATGTCAATCAATATCAATCTTCGTGCAAGAACTTTTAATGTCTTTGACAAATTTGAAGACGATAGCTTCACTTTTATGGTCAGAAGAACCGGTCAGCCAGACGGACCGGTCTCGATAGTGCCCTGCGTGCAAGAACTTTTAATATTTCTACCAAATTTAAAGTCGATAGCTTTTCTTTGCATGTTTACAAGCGATCTTATGCAGACGGACAGACAGCTAGATGGATCAGTCTCAATACTAGATCTTTAAATACTTCGACCGGGTTTAAAGCGGATAGCTTTCTTTTTACACGGACGGACAGACGAAAATGCTTCAGTCAACTTAAAATCTAATGCAAATCGAGGATATATATACGAGCTTTCGTTCTGGTTGCTGTAAACGTTTCGACAAAATGAATATACCCCTCATCCTTTGCTGGGGGGTATAAAAATGTTCATCGCCAAATTCTGCAACGTCAGCTACAGATAATAAAACATTCAAATAACACTATAAAAATATATTCCATAAATCTTGATAATCACTGTATAAATATAAATTTCGTTCGATGCAACAAACTAATAAGTAAGTGTACACACACACACACACACACTGACACAAATACATGTGTATGTTTAGAATATACATAAAAATACATAAAATATTCTTTACGTGTTCATGTACAAATTTCACGACTCCCTGCATATGTGCATGCGTAAGAATATTTAATTTTAATTAGATGCCAATCATCTGTAAGTTTTTCGTGTTCATAACCATAAGTGTAGTAGTTTAACACGTCTGTCAATTTGTGCAAAAGAAAATGAAGAAACTTTTCAATATTTTAGACTGATCGAAATGATAGTAAGTAGCAATGTTCAGTGCATTCGTTATGTTCAAATTTGCCCTCATACTTCTATTCCCATTCCCCAGCTGGAACCTAAACAATATTTGCAGATAATTTTAACTTTGTACTGCCTGCCGAAGCAAAAATGAAGCATCTCCGTACACTTTCAGAATCAAACATTTTATTGTATTAACCGGATTAGGTTCTCTTAAGAGTTATCTATTCAAACTATGGCTTGCGATTAAAAGACAAGTTCTATCTGACGTAGACAGATCTTACATGACTTTCGAATTGTGCTTGTAACCGTTCCACGTCGAGCGATGAAGTTAACGTAACTTTCGTGATTCCAAGAGTAAACGTGAATAAGGACTCAAGAAATCAAAACTTCTTTGGTTTGGCCCTTGCTGGTGCTGGTGAACTGCAATATCAATCAAATATTAACGATGGGACTTGTTGACGACTCGTCCGCACATAGCCTGGGAAATTGAGAAATTTCTCGCATAATAATGCAAAAACGAGGCGTGTTGTGTTGCTTGTAGCATCTGTCCTATTGAAATCATCATTCATGTCTTCAATTTCACGCCCCGTGAAATTAGGAAAAATGTAGTTGATATTGTAACGTGGCAAACATGACGTAAAGCATACAATTTTTTTTATTATGACCCATCACTCAGGCAATGTCCACAAAGTCTATCAGAAAGAAGAGAAGCAAGAAGATGAAGAAAGAAAAAAGGGAGATGATGGGCACACCCTAGTGCCCATATAAGGAGGTGTTATGCCTTTTCCGACTGGGCGCGACCAAAAAATACTTCACGGCACTTAAGTTTTGAAACCGCGAACACTGACTTACTAGTCGCTCTTCTTACGACTCTACTCGGTTACTTAGACCGAATGCCCTGGATGACAATTCTGTTCTAAACATTTCACCGAAACAGGGTTGCCAAAACCGAAGAATTCTCTGTACAGTTGGTACATTTTATCATCAGTTGCTTAGAAATTTTGGTAATACCTCTGCTATGTAAGAAAAAAATTCAGCTATAAAAAAATTTAATTCGGAGACTGCATACCTGAATATCAGTCGAGCTTGAGAGATAATGTCCACCTTTCCTCATTGGCTTATACAAATTGAATATTTAGGAATGAAAGAAAACTTTAAGACACCGGAACACAATAAGTAAATTTTTCGGAAGTAATTACGATTACAAGTCATGTTAGTATTGCAAGTGATTTGCACGATAGATACGTTTTCCTCAACTCCATACTTTATCGTACCGTTAGTATCCGTAGTTCTCTTCCGATTACTTTGAAATTTAAGCTGCAGCCTCAAACTTAGATTTTCTTTAGAGCCTCATGGGATTTCTTCGACATAAAAAAAAGACATTCCGCTTTAATATCCACAACATTTCATTTAATGTAACGCCCTCTAAAGTAGACATGTTCTTGGTCAAAACAGAATCAATCTAGGCACGTCTATCTGTCCGTCTGTGGTAAGCGTATTTTAGGTCATGAAAACCAAGTTGGCTGCTCCAAGTTTGGCAAAAACACTCGGCGTCCTTGCACGCGAACAAGTTGGTATCGACAGTAAGTGAAATCAGAACAGGACACCTGTGTATGATGAAATCTGAGAAGAGCTCTTTTTTCAACAGAAAAAAAAAAAGATTGCGTTTCTGCTCTTAAACTACAAGACGTGCAGCAATAACGACTTCTACACGTTATCTTGATTGACATACAAGACAGGGCGAAAAGTTTCAAGAGCAACAACTTCTTAATATATGTTTACTGATCCGCAGGCATCCATAGTCTTCCCGGCAAACATTTTGTGATCTTATGAAATTTTATATTACATTTCTATAACAACATATTTGTCTTTTTGTCATATCTTACGTCTAAAGCACTGGTTTGATTAACATTACGCTAAATATTATAAATAAATAAATGTGTGGGTATATCGCCTCCGGCGGATGAAGTTGAAGCAATTGCTAATATCAATGTTGCATTTTTCAATGAAAATTTTCGACGTTTGAAAACTGGTGACAAGTGGGGAAAAACCCCTAAAAACCCACACACACACACACACACACACACACACACACACATTAAAAACAGATGGACAGAGGGAAAGAAAAGAATAAAACTAAAGGGACTTAAAATGTTAGGTGCTGAGGAAGAACTCTTGTGAAGCATATATGTACTCTGACGGATCTCCTTTGTATATATTGCAGGATGTTGCGAATTGACGCACACATCTTCATCTAAACATTCCAAGCAAACAGCAGACACATGCGATTTGTGCCCTTCAAGTGAATATGAAATAAAACGATTCGGAGACGTTTGGAAACGTTTTCGAATCTCTTTGAAAAAATTTGCTCAAAGCAACAAAGTAGTGCTAAATGATTTTCTCATTTCACTTCAATATCTGCTTGTATCCAGCAATTCTCTTTGCATTAACTGAAGAACTCTCTTTCGCCGTGAAAAATTTTAATAATTTTATAGCGTTTATAAAAAAAAAGAAGAAGCAAGTACTTCGCTGTATGATGATGCAGGCAACAATTAATCACAAAACCTTATACACCATAATAGTAAATCGATTTGAACATGCAAACGCACATATAATTGACATTTTTAGATATTCTAGTTAATTAGCATGTAAAGCAGCGACATGTGTGTGTTTTTTTTTTATTTGTTTTTGTTTTTTTGGTTTGCTTGATAATAATAATACCGGAGAGATATCGCGTAGTATTGCATAATTGCAAGCAAAAAACGAAAAAAAGACACAACACAAAATATGTCGAATTCAATGTTTGTATATAACTATTGATATCGTCAAGGTTACGCTACAAGTAAATTTATGAGTGCTAACTACACGTAACTGCCGCTGATACTGATGTATATATATATATATATATATATATGCATGCAAAATAAAGGCACCGCCAAAATTGCATTTAAAAATAACAGAAATGTTTGAAAAAAAAAAAAAAAAAAAATAAAAAAAAAAAAAAAAAAAAAACTAATTAAAGTAACGCATACATAAAGTTGTAAAATTATTAACAGGTTTTTCACCCAAAGGTCATATCGATATTGAAAAATGTCTATCGGAAATTGCGCAGGCGTTTACAAGACGAACTTTTCTTTATTTTCGCCGCTCCCAGAACGAAAGTCCGTAAAGTAAAAGACGGGCAAGTAAAGTGACGCCTTCATATACAGGCTTCTCTTACGCGCAGTATTGAGATACGAAAACCTGAAAAATGTCTTTGCAGCCGCCCTCTATAAAGATTAGAAAACAAGTCTGCGAAAACTTTAAAATATGACAGGAAACCATCGTTTTAATGGACGGACGAATGTAAGCCGGAAAACAGCTGTGTAATAGTTTTCAATTCAAATTTATTCGAAACTATTTCTAGGCACTTTTTTTTTTTTTGGTTTATTGATAAGCGCTTGAAGAGAGGCTTTTTCACATATAGAGACCTATAGGTACTTTTAGTGATTAGAGCTTGATCGCAGTAAAATGATTATTCTTTTTATATAGTGATACTCCGAAAATATCTTCTAAATGACGGTTTAATCAAAGCGTGAATTCTTTCTTCTCTGGTATATAACCAGCCACACAGTATGAGCACGAAAGAATGATGGCGGCTAGGAAGGTTTATAGATATAGAGAGATGGACGGTATACATCGTACTATCGAGAAAACAATTTCAAATAAAAAATAAAAATCTCTTCACAATGTTTGGTCGTTGATGAGCAGAATCGGGTTCGAAGCAGTAGATTGTACCCGAATTCTTTGTCATGAATGACCAGAAGCTCTTGCTGCTTTTTAGCGGGGCAAACCTTGGGGTACGCAGCAGCTTGGGTTCCCCTGTGAGAGGACCTCTTATTTTCCTTACGTATATCGAATTTGAGACTTTGCAAGCATCCGGATGATCAGTTCGAAAGCTGTATCCTAGACCCTCTTCTTATTTTCATTTCGTTCAATACTTGAATTAATTTATTGTTATATATGTGCATCCATTAAAGATGTTGTTCTATGTCGCTATGCGAGTGATCAATAAATGCGCTTTTAGATGAAGATAAATTGAACAATGTATGCAAGTGAAAGCACTTATCAAAGAACAGACGTTGCAATGTTCCGAGGAGATTTATTTGTGTTCGGTTCTCACTTATCCCTCTATTTCGATCTTCTTTATTGTGATTGTTTTATGATAGTTTTTTGATTTTTTATCACTGTTATTATTATTATTATTATTATTATTATTAGTATTATTTAATAATATTAATAAACGATAATCTCTCTCCGGGTGTATAAAAACATTTACAAATTATATGAAATATTAATGGGTAAATGCGAGATAAGTAATTAAAATAAATAAATAAAGTAAAAAAAAAAATAAAAAATATTATTATTATTATTATTATCTGTTTGTTATTATTCGTGCATACATTAAACTCTTCTGCAATATCGGTTTAACGGAATCGGGCAAAGCTTAAGAAAGTTGAGTGTGTGAAGTAGAAGATGGCTAAAATGTATGCATTAAAAAATAAATCGGGGAAAAATGCAAAAATAGAAAAAAGTCGGTGCACGTCTGGCTCAGAAGCACACCCACAGCCGATATGTAATATATTAAGCACAGCTGTGTACTATTAAGCCGAGACCAACATGCCAAACCTTGGCATCTGATCGTAATCATACTTTCTTGACACTGAATATTAAAAGTTAATTAATTTAAGTATGACATCGATAATGTGCGATTATAGGAAGAGAGTTTTACAAAAGAGCTTGAGGTTAAATACATATCTCCCAACTGTTATAATAATGAGAATGAGACAACTGAAGTCATATGCCTTAGTGCAGCCGAGATGAGTTAATAGCATCATTGATTAGCTTTATCACGCAGAAAGTGTCTAGGATAAGCCGACTTTTCTTAACCGATCTCTAATGACTCCATTTTCAGTCATGATAAATGAGCTCATTTCTGAACTGCTCAGCACAAAGAGAAAGAATTGTTTCTATAAAGATTCAATTGATTCAACATGTCAACGATAGCAGGGTGACCATACGACAATGTGACACTCCAGTATAGATCTTACCAGGCTTATATGTGAGCAGTTGTCTTTTCGTAAGATATGAGTCATCAAATTCTCTACGCCAACATATAAAAAAGCCTAGCCGGATGGGAAGGTTCCTCAGTAGGGAAATTGAGATGGAATTTTGTCACCAAACCCTGAAACTCCTAGTCCAACAGAGTAAACAAATGCACTCATTCTCCATTTTGTGTGAGTCGTTAACGTATTCCTCTGTGAACGCTTTTAAACTATAATACTTAGCTTCCGCTTGTGAGTTTCTTATATTTCTTTTGCAAGTTTGAGTGAGACCATCATGTAACTAGATTCTTTAACACTCGCACTGCGAATTACGTCATTTTGACCCTTTTTTCATTTTCGATCATCAAAAAAGCATTTGTGTACCGCTTGTAAGTTTCTCGTGACTTTTGCTTATATGACACGCCCTGCATATATCTATCATAAATTTTTACCATATGGTCGACTTTTCAAAGTATCGATGTCAGGTGCTTAGTTTTACCAAAAAGGATCATTTAGTTCTTCATTTTGTTGCAAAGTCACTATAATCGTAAAAATGAAGAAAATAAGCTGAAATTTGGAAAAAACATTTCTTGATCCATTGAAAACCACCAGTTGAGAAACGGTGTTAGGTGTGTCTGTATGTATGCGCCCGATAGATTATAAACTGTACAAGCTCGAAAAACTAATGACAATTTTTTCATATTTTCGTTTATAATTTTTGATTTCGTAAAGATATATCGTAAGGTCTGTTCATGTTCAATCCAAAAATTGGTCGCGATTGGTTTAATAATCTGCCCAAAATTAACGATAAAATTTATGGAGATCATTTATGTATAGGTTAAATATAATTGGTTCCAACTAGGTGCCTTAAAGGGCCCCAGATTTAACGAAATAAGTTGAAAAGCACCTTTAAAAATCTGTCATGACAGCAGAAGGATAATAAAAATTAATCGGGTATGAGAGATAGGTTAAAGGAGACGACTTTCATAATAATGATTACTAAAATTGATGCGGTCTCTCTCTCTCTCTCTCTCTCTCTCTCTCTCTCTAATGAACGTGATCTCTAAGCGATTTTAAGAGAAGAAAACTCACCCGACTAGTTCGGGAAATACAACACCAATGCCTCTAAAGTTTCCAACAAGTTGTCTATTACTGTTTACGCATCTTTTAAAATAAGAGAATCAAAGTTGTTTACCAATAGATGGGATATCTGCCCGCTTCGAGGGCGTGGTGAAACAGAATGTTATAGCGAGATGCACATCTTCTGTAAAGTTTAGCTTAGCCTTGTAATGCCTCACTGTCAGATATATAAATGCTGTAAATAATCTTATGACTACAAGTCTTCAAATACCATTATACACAGGTTAAAGTAAGAAAAAAATTATCAATTCGCGTATCCGATACACTTCACAACGTATGACTTAACTTGGCGGCATCTCTTTTTCTCGGCAAAATTTTAAAGTCATTATAACGATCTCAACTGACGGACAGAGAGACATTTATATCTAAGTAAAGTTTATTATTCAAGCTGATCACGAATGAATACATACATACATACATTTATAATCTACATATTTTTCTATGTTATTAAATTTTTTCAAATCGAAAATGTTGAAATTTTTAAAAAGTCCATGAAAGTGATCGGCGACACAGCACTATGAGCTACTAAAGGTATGTAATCAAAAGTATGGCTGGAGTATATCGCCTAAAGCACAATTATTCGGGATATCCAAGTTTGACATAACGGATCGATTTTCTTCACAGAGGGCCCTATCAGTTATTATATATATATATTTATATATATATATATATTTCACTATGTCGTGAACTGAGTAATAAAAATGCAAGCATTAAACTTGATGAACGATAAGCGATAAGCGAATAATTTTTAATAGAGTTTTTTTTTTTGTTTTGAATTTTTAATTTATATAAATTTTAACTCACTTCTTATCAATGTTATCCAAATGTTTGCGTTGATCTTCATCCATTGATACCAGTAAATTGACGCGGTCATGCATCTTGGTTAATAAATCTTTATAATCACAGTTATAGGTATTAGGGTTGGGAGCCTAAGGGATTATTAAAATGTAAAAGAAATAAATAAATGTTTTTTCATTCTATATTATTTTTTGATTTGTTTTATTAATTTTCTTATTCACACTTAGTCTTCATCGAATTTTCACAGAATAGTGTTTTTCCCCGCAGGCCAATGAAACTTGATCGTGAAAAACACATTCTTGCTTGGGCTTGTGGTCGATCGGTTTTTTCTTCTTTTATATCTTTACGCAAACATTCCTAATACATACTTACATATATATATCTATGTTTACATATATATTCATAGATATGTAGATATATATTTTTGCATTTATCTAGTGTTCTAAAGTAAAAAGTTCAATTGACAAGGTTATCTATCTATCGCTGCTAATCTCTCCTTTAAAGCCAGCAAAACCAAAAACACTTGATACGGGTAATGGAATTGAACGTCACATGTTTGCAAAAGTTTGTTTATTTAGCGTTAATTAATACCCTTTTGTTAAGTATTAAACGATTTGAAAACATTTATAGAACATTGAACTTGCTTAGCACATCGCTCGCTCTAGCATTTGCACGGGCATTTGCTGTCGCAGCGCTTACGTAAGAATACGTATAGAAGCAAATTAGTTTACTTTTCTGAACTTTTCTGTTCTGTTATGTTCACATATCTTTTAACATTTCTTCCCATAGCCGTGTAAGTAGTAGCGTAATAATAATAATAATAACAATAACAATAAAAATAATAATAATAGTAATAATATGAAAGAAATGAAATTTGTTTGTTCACTTTATTTACCCACCGCTCTCCAACGTGTGGCAGTATTTCGTGTTGTTGTCGGTCTCGTAGTTCGTTGCTGCCAATGAGTCTCTTGTGTTGCTGGCCTAGAAGTTGCATTTAACTCTTCTTGCATCTGACAGCCGGCAAAATGCATTACAATAATTATTGTATAAAAGGCTATCGTTAAATTTGCGCACACATTCGCTGGCGGCATTTTTTCTTTCCTTCACTCTCTTAATTCAAATAACGAAAGGAAATATTCTTTTTTTTTTTTACAAATAATATATTTATTTAATTAATGAATAAATAAATTTTTCTCGAATAAATTCGATTTTAGTTTTGCAATCGGCATCGCTTGCCAGCTACTTATAAAATTTAAACTTCTCAACTCGACGTTTAAGTTACAACTAAACTGTATGATCTTTCCGTATATCCATTTTTTTTCAAATTTCTTTTAGTTATTTATTGATTTACTCATACACATGTAGGCAGCCCTCTTACAGCTACTCTCGCGAGAGCCGCTAATTCGATTTTTAATGTTTCTTAATAAATAACCCAAATACTACTTTAAGCATCTTGTATTCACTTTGGCTGAAATGAAGATGCTGCAAAACATGAAAACGGAACGCAATTCTTATGGCCATCATGATCGTTGAGAGGTCTATTCACTTTTCTATTTCGTTTGTAACATCACGAACTAAACTTTGCAAATTCTCTCAACTCGTTCTAATCTTATCAGCTCGCCTAATAAATAGAAAATAGTCAGCGAATAGGAAAAAGAGTCAGGTAATGAATGACGTACCCTACACAATTAAGATTTGTCTCGATCTCTTTAGAATGTAAGATCAAAAATTGAATGGAAAAGCAAAACCGCGAATACATCGGATCTCACCTTAATCTGCTTGGAATGAACGCTTGAATGTTATTTCGAAAAATGTTTGTAAAAATTCGAAGATATTCTCCGCGTCTATATAAAAAAAAAAAAGATAAAAATTCCAAGATTTTGAAAGTTTTAATGACGGTAGAGGTTCGGCAGTCACATGAATGCATGTCAAGCTATCATACTTGTTGGGAAGTATTATCAGACTATCTTTGTGCAAACAGACAGTAACAGTAACGAAACTCTTTTGACAGTTAAAACAAAAGCCCAACAAGATTAACTTATTGCCTTGTTCCTTGCTTTGGTATTAGGGAATGACATTTGAGTTTTGTTCAAAAAGCCTTTGTTAACTCTTGATAAAGAATATGATCATTATGCACTCTATGCTATAATAACTGTAAGTAGTGGACTTTTCTATTCATGCGAGGAATGCAAAAATTCGAACTTTAAAGTTAGGAACGTCAGAGTGACATAGAGTGAGTGTATATATAGCTTTGGACGCACTTGGAACACTTGCTAAGTTATACCTGGGCCATGGTCAACAAACTGCTTTGCGTACAGGAAAATTTTGAATCGTCACAGGATACGAAGGGAAATTCTTAGGCATTCATTTAGGTTTAACACCAGCAAAATTATTTTTTTTCAAAAAATGTGAGGCATTTTGAATTTAAAGCACTCTGTGGTACGTACAGTCCTTGATGGAAATGTGAATCTTAAAAAAGAAAAAACTCACATGACACTTTGACTGCCAACTACGAGATAACTCGTGGTCTATTTATTTGCCACATTCGCACAGCTACGATAAAGTTCATAGTATAATTGGCTTTGGGCCTAGAGTAGTCTCATCTTTCGGGCTCGGCGACGACTTTTTCATCGATATTGTGTATAATCTCTAGTGTCGCATTTTCATCGTCGTCAACAGTATCTTACTGCACTAGACGGTTTTAATAGCACAATACAATTAAATTAAACTGGCTTCTTACACCGGAATCAGGGTAAGTACCGTGGCAGTCAACGTGTTAATCTACTTGCCTATAGGTGATGAATCACGAAATGGGTTTTAATTTTCTTTTATATATACAAGTATTCTACGTAAGTATTTCAAGAAGATTCTCGACATGTTTTTTATTATAATAAATTTCTTTTTCCATTAATCTGCCGACTCCTTAAGCCAAAGAAGCTGCCCCTCTTTGTTCCAATAATTTACCTCATCCTCTTTTCTCGAAGATATGACATTTTTTCCGCGAATTTCTCTTAGACACAGTCGCATGTTTTTCACTTTAAATGCCACAAAGTGATAAAGAAAAGAGTGGAAAAGTGTGTGCAGATGAGTTCATAACTTAAATGAAGATTGTCACACTTACTTTTTTCGAATTACCTAGTAGAGGCAGTGAGTGCTACCATTCCAACCGTAGTCAGGCTTTTCAATAAAATTCGGTGGTCGTCTTAACGATACTACGCAAACCTTTACTCTCTTCTTTTGGTAATGCATTCAAATTAATGTAAAGAGTTTCTAGAGACGTCTGTCTGTTAGTGTAAGATTCAATTTGATTATATTGTGCAGCTATATTTATCTTAAGGAAATGTTTTTCATTTAAAAAAATGTCAACACGCGTAACACTCCCCTTATGGTTCTCTGTGTAATTTAAAGCAAGGGCAGTAACATTCCATATGCGCTGAATGAAACTTTTTATTATCGCGAATACTAACAAATTAGAAGTAGACGCGATTATTAAATCGAATCGAAACCTCGCTCTAGACTTGAAAATGTTACGTAATCTTAAATTACTTAAGTTGCTTACATCCAGCCGATCTACTGTTTGTCTTAATAAGAATTTAATATCACTTTGTGCATAAAAATTCACTAATATGCGGTTGGTGCGTGTTCTCAAATTTTTTAAGAAAAAAATCGAAACATGACAGCTCCTTAAACTCCTCCTTTTTTTTCTTTGCTCTCGCTTACCATGCGGCTACAGTTTCCAATTTTCCATTTGGAAAAACAAACTAGAGTTTCTTGGCATATATGTGCCTTAGGGCGGAAAATCTTATAGCTGGAAACTGAATGGGCCAACGTTACGCAAGTTCGACAGACAGGTTACGGGAAGCGGGAAAAACATTTCCGAAGCTTCAAATTTCAATTTAGCAGAAATTTATCCACTGTCTGTACCAAAGCCTTTCATTAGCCGGACAAGATTATACTCAAAATTTGTTAAAATCTTATCTTGTTATATTTACCATGTTATCCCGTGCAAACAACTATGACGAGCACTTGCTTAATTTCCTTTTTAAATAATTATTGAACATGGTAGACAGAAAAATAGAATGGAGACAGAAATAGGTCGTAGATCCTCTTATCCTTGTCCTTATTTTTATCTTACTTTCTGTTCATGTTTTTGTTCTTACTCTTTATTCTTATCCTTATCGTTGTTGTTATCGTTATTCTGATTCGGATTCTTATTTTTATTGCTATTCTTATCCTTATCCGCCATTTCTCTTCAGGATTTTATTCTCATTCTCATTCTTATTCTTATTCTTACTCTTATTCATATGCTTATTCTTATTCTTAATCGCTTTCTTAGCCTTATCCTTATTATTATTTTAATTGTTGTTCTTAATCTTATCCTCATTCTCATGCTTCTTCTCATTCTCGTTCCTATTCTTATTTCTATTCTTTCTTTTATTTTTATTCCGATTCTTAGTCGAATTGTTAGTCTAACCCTAATTCTCATTCTTAATCGTATCCTTATTGTTATTTTTATTGTCGCTCGTATCCTTATTCTCATCCTTCTTCTGATTCTTAGTCTTATGCTTATTCTTATTCTTAATCTTACTTTTATTCTTATGCTTCTTCGTATTCTTGTTGTTAGTTGCATTCTTAATCTTATCCTTATTCTTATTCGTATTTTCATCCTTCTTCTGATTCTTAGTCGAATTCTTAGTCTTATCCTTATTCTCATTCTTCTTGCGACTCTTATTCTTACCCTCGTAATAAGCGAGTTTATCAAAATTGTATTTTGAAAGCCATATCTTGAACGATTACCACGTGTAAATGGTTGGTGGCTACGATACAAATATGACGTTTACTACCAGGACTACAGAGCACATAATTTTAATCCATGTTTAGTTTTCCTTTTACAAAAAGACAGTAATGTGGTATTCTAAAATTTTTTGACGATTGGGTTTTTGAATTTGGTTTCTTTATACCTAGTCCAGGTATCAAGATGTCAAAGGCGCATATCTGTTTCTATAGCAATGACGCACATGAGCACGTTCTTCACCCAAATATTCAAACTTATAGTAAAAATCTTATAGTTAATCCTCGACGTGTTCTCATAAACCGATATAGAGTGAACATGAAATTGGTTTCGACTAACATTTCAGTATAGTTGGCTTTCCGAAACATCTTCCTAGGATCGAAAGTTATGAAAAAATGTTCGGTGTTTCTTCGTCATTCTGTCAATTTTTATTCGACGGTGAGGGCTCGAAAAGATCCCTTATGGCAGACATACATATATGCACAACCTCTTGCTTAAACCCTTAGTTAGCTTTGCCTTATTCAGAATAAAATTCTAAAGAATGTTTGGTCTCAAGTTCAATTGAATAAGAACTCTTAGCTACGGTTTGTACTCGCTCAGTATGAATTATGCGTCGACCTTTCTTTGGCCGTTATCACAGGAGCGCAGAGAGATGTTTGTATAGGCGAGTCATAGCAACAGTAGATTATTTAAAACACTGAGCAGTTTATCGCGAACAAGGGCAGGAGTCATTGTGTCAGTACGATAACTCTCGTGCGGGTATATATGTACTGACCATTTTAAATGCTATCATAGTGTGCAAACTTATTGAGATTCATTTATCAAATCTATTTTCAGTGCACAAATAGACAGAATCATGAATTCTTTGCCTTTTTTCGTTTTTCCAGCATTTTAAAATGTTTTTTACTTTTATGCGACAACAAAAAACGGTATATGGGGCAATGTTCACATATTCTCAATACGTTCAAATTACAGAGCATGCGTCATACGTTGTTAAAAAAAAAAAAAAGCGCTAATTGAGCCCAAGTTTAGCTATCGAACTAATGATGAAAACAATTGCTTTTCGTTCCTGTTTTATAATAAAAATCAACTGTTGCCTGAGTTAATGAAGCCGCAGAAGGCCCCCAAACACTGGTATAACGTTTGCTGGGAAACTCAAACTTTATGCATTAAATTTTTTGAACGATTTATATAGAAAATCTAATATAAATATGTCGGTGATAAGATGTAAGTAAGTTCGATACATGGAAAGGGAGTTTTTTTTTTCATGTTTTCTATTACTGAGTAAAACAAAGGGTCATAGCCGATTCGAGATTAATGACGAAAAGTTTATTTCTGCCAAAATTACTGGTTACGAGTGTTCCTCAGCTAAATTTATTCCCATAACTCGATTCTTTTGCTAAACCTGGGCTATATGGCATAAGATTGGTTGGTACACAAAACTTTTTAAAACTCGGCATAAGCTTCCCATCGATATCATCAATGCAAA